AGATACGTTAACTAGAAAAAAATAGTCTCTGAGGCTATTTACATTTCCAGACCTAATCAAGTGGAATTGTTTAAAAAAAAAAATAGACATAGTGAAATTTAGGCTGTCAACTTTTTTGCCCATCTTAGTACCTGTGCCTTTTAATAATGAATTGTTCTGAAATAATTAAAGAGTTGAAAGTGTTTTTATTTTTGTGGTCTGGAAGATCTGTGTTATCTATGCTTGCTGCTGCTGCTGGAAGAATGATGAAGGCTTAGCTTCAAAGGTCACCTGAGGGCTAGTTAATTAGTGGGTTTCTCAGAATCATAGCTATTCCTGGCCCCAATTCAAATATCCATGCCTATCACACCATTACCTCCACATGTTGTCTTTATATTGTGCTGAAATGAAAATGAATCTCAAGAATACATTCCTTTTCCCATTCACACATAACACTTCATAGCAGTGACTGTTTTTGGCATGATAACCTCACACATTTAGTATTATTCTGTGTTAGTAGCTGAAGGAATCAGTGGACGCAGGGCTCTTGGCCCCTGTGGCTCCTGTAACATTTATCCATTTCATAGGTCTTTCTGGCCACCACCAGTTTCTCTTCTGGCCATCACAGTTTTTCATTTCCTTCCAATGTATCTGGCTGCTTTAGACAGGCTTTTCATCCTCATCTGGTGTCCATCTTAGTTTGCATCATTTTGGAGACTTTAAAGGGGTCTTTGATTCTTTTGGGGAGCAACCTTCTAAAGTGAATAGGGACATTTAATGTCTGGGCTGTAAGATAACCTAGAGTCTTTGGGTTTACTTTAGAATACCTCTAATGCTCAGGATAAGCCTTGCTGCTGGGGAAGACATTTTAACGTGATGCTTAGCACCAAGGGAGCAATCCATCCATGAGAAATACTTTTTGTTTTTAATAGTTCATGCTGCTTTAAAGGATGCTGTGTAATTGGACTAGTAAATCAGGGCTGGATCTTTCTGAAATGAAGAAATTATCCCTACTATTTTCCACAACAAACAAGGGATATATATGATGGAGGAAGTCAAAATGGCAGGGTTCTTTCAAACCCTTTCCTTCCTAAAGAAGGAAATTTGAAAATATACTAAAGAGAATATACATGTTTGTGCTCTCACCCTCCCCATTAATATTAGCTCTCAATCTATTGAATAATACCAATTAATTTTAATTTCCAATAAATTAAATTTCACTTCCAAGAAATGAAGAACATACAAATTATCTGCATGAAATTATCTGCCAGGTTTTTGCACATTTTTGGTAGGGCGGGGAGAAGAATATAGCTAAGAGGTTTTCAATTAAAATGCTGTGCTTATGGTTTCAAAGCAGCCTGTAAGGTTGCTGATGTCATGTCAAAGCAATTGCTTTGTGTTCCTAAGAGCTTATACTAGAATCAAGTGAAAACTTCCAAAGATGTTATAGATTACCAGATCATGGCTAGAAAGCAAATGCAAAGGATGCATCCATCTCCTTTTGCTACTGTCTGTTTCAGCTGACAGGAGAGATTGTGGACCATGTCTCCATGGAAACTGGTCCCTCAGCAGGCAAAGAGCTGAAGACTGCAACTCTCACTTAAATCCTTCATTTGTCAAGGGAAGAATCTTTTGAAGTAGTGTGGTATGTCAATCCCACATGGGGATATGAGATTCTCAAATGTCTTTGACAGCGAACGTCTTATTAATATATTGCACAATATATGTCGGTGATGTACTACTGATCTCAGAAACATGCTAATCTTAAATTGATTATTTTAATCAGCTATAACTTTAACAGAGTGTGATGATTCATGGAGGGAATTGATTCTCTGTACAAAATGAGGTTCACTTAGATTTTGATGCAGAAGTTTCAAAGAAACGGATGTGAATGTTAAAGGAAAACCAAGTATGGACTAAAGCCCTTGGTCTAATCCGCTGTTCCTAACGCATCAGTTCTGCACAAATTGGAAGGGAAAGGTTTTCATGGCATAGGGACAAAAGCTTTATCCTCTGCTGATGTCTGCACATTAGAAAGTTGATCCTGTTCTGTTTACTGAAACTTTTCAGTTCAGTTTATAATACCTCAGTACCTCAATCGGCCTCTCTCTCTCTTTCTCTCCACACACACACACACACACACACACACACACACACACACAATATAAATTAGATTAAAGACCTGAGACTTCAGCTATAGGCATGGTGGTTTATAAGTCAATGTTAAGACTTCATTTTATTACAACAGAAGTCAAAGAAAGACATACAACATTCATTGAAAATGAAAGAAATGCAATTGACAAAACTAGCAGTAAAATAGTAGGGTTTTTTCTTATAAATAACTACATGGATTATCTAGTGATTGATTAAATTGTTGCTTCCTTCTTTACTTCTTGCATTTAAATCAACAGATAATTAATGGAAAATTGTGGCCTTCTAGCAGTTCTAGACAACTGGACTCATGGTGAAAGATCCTAGAAGCTACGGTATAGCTACATTTGGAGGTTCATATCCTCTCATCTCTGCTATAGGCTGAAGTAGAACATTTTCTTACTACTAGCATGCAAACTAATGGTTAAATAAATAAATAAAAATCCTAAGCAAAATAGTACAGGGCTTAACTGAACAGTCATCTTCTTTTGGGGGTAAGAAAAAAAAAGAGAGAGAATAAGTATTCCCCAGGCTTCGGTGCTTGCCAAGATACCCAAATTGCTGTGGGTTTCAAACCTGTCACTACTGATATGCTGGGAGTTTGGCATTTGGGCTACTGTGTTTGAGTGCCATCACATTTTATTCTTACATGTTAAATTGGAACTTACATTCCAGTATTCCAGTTCTTGTCTTTTCAGCATATCCTCAGGCAGCCCTTGAAACTTTTATACATTTTATCTGTATTTTTCTTTTGTAATGGCATTCATGAAATAACATTCTTACAGTATGATTAGGGTTTTTCTATTGCTAGACTTTCTTAGCATTCTCATCTTGAGTTATTGGTCAACATTCTTTTCCTTGTTACTTTTTCTATGCATATATTGATACATCATTTGTTTTCTCTAGCTGGAAAAATGTTTGCTGTTTTCTTTATAGGCTTGCCAAAATTTGAAACCAAATCACCATTTCATCTCGGATGTAGATGATACAAAATCATATGGATTTGTTATAGTATCATAATTCTGAGAGTTCTGTGGTCATTTTCCAATACCTTTGACATGTTTCTTACATCACAAATATGAGCGAGAGAGCTCCTAAAATATAATTTTAGTATTCTTCAAATTGGGTGGCCTAACCGATCGCTGTTGAATAGAAAGTCAGTTTTATCTTCTTTAATTAGCAATACATTTTATTCCTATGATTATGATTATTGATATTATTATATAATTATTTAAACATCAAGCTAATATTATTGGAACAGCAGAAGTGATAATTGAGATGGTATTAAGGGTAGAACTTGACATTTGAGATAGCGTTTTGCATCATTCAGGTTTTAATTTTAGATTTTTTTTTCAAAATAATAAAAAAAGCTTGTGTTGCTCTAGGTGGCTCACATATGGTGGTTGGTCTAAGACTAATACCCTTATACTCTTATGTGTACCATCCTAAGGATGTATTCAGAACTAACCAATCACTAATATCTCCTTCAGGGGCCAGGAGTTTAAAAATGCACAACTGACTTCGTACCGAGACTGATGTAATAGCCCAGTTAGAAAAGATGCAGGAGATAAAACCTTGCTCTTCTTGAACCCTACATATATTTAGATAGGTTGGTAGATATGGTGGTTTTGCTTCAGCCTGCAGAACTTTCTGAATGCAGTTTTGTCAATTATTGCCTCCCTAATAGCATCTTTGTTATGAAGCTCCTGCCATGTTTTATCTTGTCTATGATTTTGATGAACCATAAGAGGTGTCAAGAAAGATCATTGAAACATCTGTAGCGATGTGTCATTGGTATTTTCTGTTTCTACTTGTCGGTTAAATCACATGAATTAGAGCTATGCCAGTGGTGATTTTTCTCATATTGGGATGATACTTTGTTAATCTTCTGATTAATCTTCTGCAAATCTCAAAAATGGGTCTTGTATTTGAGGATTGCTGCTGGTAATATAAAGTGCAGTTTCTAGATTTAAATTTCTTTGGAACATATTTTATCAGTTGTGGGGGAAAAATCAAGACTATTTTAAAGTGTTGGTGCTTATCTAAACTGTTTGAGATAATAATCATTTAAACATATGCACCCACCCATTACAAAACTGCCTGGATTTACCTGTGTATGTTTCGCTTTGAGTCCTTTCACTGTCAAATGGAACAGATATTTTCAGAGCAGTTGCTTTATCTGAGGAATACCTTCCCCCCAAAAAAGTGGTCCAATTATCTTTAAAGAACCTATGTATGGCCAAAACTCATATATAACTTTATAGATGCCCATATATGTGTATCCTATTACTTTCATTTTATTTTTCTTTCATGGTTAATAGTTTTAATATATTGTAAGCTGTCATGATATAATTTGGAAAGAATAGTGCAGTAATATTTGTCTCTCACACAAGAGGCACATTGTGTCTGCCATTTTCACATGTGAAATAGGACTAGGAGTGTGCATTAAAGTGGTGAAAAGCCAAGAAAAGCTGAAGTTTCAGCCCACTCTTGAGTTCCTTTGCAATAATTAATTCAGGCCTTTCATTCAACCTGGCCAAGAACTTCCATATTGGAGTGAGACTGAGGAGAAAAAGAGTAGGTAGTAGGCAATTGGAAAGACAGACATAAACATTCTTTCAGTAAATAATTTTACTTTCATAATTGAACAAGGACAATAAAAGAACATTGTTAATTCCTATCTTGTATAGTTTGACCATAAACCAACAAATATGCTGCATGTTCATTTCAGTGTGTATCATAATTTTTGATTTTCCTTCTAATTTGACATCGATGTGGTGGATTTCAGTAGAAAATTACTATCTTTCAATGGGAATATCAGATTTTATTTTATTTTGTGAAGAAATAACCATTATTTTTCTGAATATTAGGATGTGGAATGGCATTGTGATGAGACTACTAAAAAAGCTTGTTATAGTAAAGGCAAATCAACGGTAAGTCCTTAATCAGTTTTCTCTATCTAAAATATTGCTATTTCTTTTTTCTAGATGTCTTGGATATGGTAAAACTGCATCCATATTACATGTAATAGTTATTCCCAATGTTTTGCCTTCTGGATTTAGTATGATTTCTGGAGCTTTATTGTGAATTTTCATGCCAAGAATGCTCAATGGAGAGACACAATGCAGGATTTTCAAGGGAAAAAAAAACAAAAACAAACAAACAGAAACATGCCTGTAAAATAAAAGGTTATACCCTTTTTTAAAGACTGAAAACAAACAAGCTGAAAATGGCATTTGAAACCCAAGGCTGTTAGTAATAGGGCTAATATCCAGCTCTCAATACCTCTGTGTAATCACTGAGATTATCTGAAGATCTGGAGTGTGGTGGTTCACAAGGTTAGGATTCTGGGCTGATGATTGGCAAGCTTGCCTTTGAGACCCAGTTGTTGCCACAGGGTGAGGTGACCTCCCATCATACACTTCAGCTCCTGCCAACCCAGCTGTTTGAAAGTAGGCAACTTCAGGTAGATAGATGCAGTGCTTTTTTTCTAAAAAAAAAAAAAGGTGCTGGAACTCACACACGTCATACAACCTGCCTTACCTATCCTACAAGGTTCCATCCAAAAAAGGTGCCGGAACTCCGTTCTGGGTGTTCTATGAGAAAAAAAAGCCCTGGATAGACTGGTACCAATTCAATGGGGCAACTTAATGGGGACCTGAAAGCAGTCCCCAACTGGGCATCTTCTGGGCAACAGTGATGTCACTGGGTTTTTTTCCCAAACAATTTTATTGGTTTTTCCATTTTTACACCAGCACGCTTAAGAAACAACATGGAGATAGGGTAATCAGTTAGGTACAATAACATCATACATATATAGCTCAAATAATGCTCCTTAAAATTTCCCTCTCTAACAATTAGAATAGTATAGTCAAACTAATACATTTCTAAGTAAAATTAATTCATGAATACATTCCTAAATAAGAATTCAATTAATCAATAGAAGTTATCAGCAACCTTTCATCGATGAAACTGGCAGATGTGATCTCAGAACTACTGAACTATATTTTTCAAAGATCCTGCAGCACTGTGGAACTACCAGAGGACTGGAAAAGAGCTGATGTAGTTCCCATCTTCAAAAAAGGGAAAAAAAAGGACCCAGGAAATTACAGATCTATTAGCCTGACCTCAATACCTGGGAAGATTCTGGAAAAGATAATCAAACAACGAATCAGCGAACACCTACAGGCAAACGAAGTCATTAGTAAAAGCCAACAAGGGTTTGTCAAAAACAGATCATGCCATACAAATCTTATTGCATTCTTTGACCAAGTGACAAAGTGGACCAGAGGAATGCTGTGAATATAATTTACTTGGACCTCAATAAGGCATTTGACAAAGTAGATCACAACCTACTACTTGATAAGATAGAAAAATGCGGGTTAGATAGCATCACCACCAGATGGATCCGTAGCTGGCTGACTGGCCGTACTCAGCGTGTGGTCCTCAATGGAACCACATCTACATGGAGGGAAGTGTGTAGTGGGATGCCCCAGGGCTCTGTTCTGGGCCCAGTGCTCTTCAACTTCTTCATCAACGATCTGGACGAGGGGATAGATGGGGAACTCATCAAATTTGCAGACGACACCAAGCTGGCAGGAATAGCCAACACTCCAGAAGACAGGCTTAGGATACAGGAGGATCTGGACAGATTTGAACACTGGGCACTATCTAACAAAATGAAAATCAGTGGTGAAAAAAGTAAGGTTCTACTTTTAGGCAAGAAAAACCAAATGTACAGGTATAGTATAGGGGGTACCTTGCTCAGTAGTAACTGTGAGAGGGATCTCGGAGTCCTAGTGGACAATCATTTAAATATGAGCCAGCAGTGTGCTGCAGCTGCCAAAAAAGCCAACACAGTGCTAGGCTGCATTAACAGGGATAGAATCAAGATCACGTGAAGTATTAATACCACTTTACAATGCCTTGGTAAGGCCACACTTGGAATACTGCATCCAGTTTTGGTCACCAAGATGTAAAAAAGATGTTGAGACTCTAGAAAGAGTACAGAGAAGAGCAACAAAGATGATTAGGGGACTGGAGGCTAAAGCATATAAGGAACGGCTGCTGGAATTGGGTATGTCTAGTTTAACGAAGAGAAGGACGAGTGGGGACATGATAGCAGTGTTCCAATATCCCAGGGGCTGCCACAAAGAAGAGGGAGTCAAGCTATTTTCCAAGGCACCTGAAGGCAGGACAAGAAGCAACGGATGGAAACTAATCAAGGAGAGAAGCAACCTAGAACTAAGGAGAAACTTCCTGACAGTTAGAACAATTAACCAGTGGAACAACCTGCATCCAGAAGCAGTGAATGCTCCAACACTGGAAGTTTTTAAGAAGAGACTGGACAGCCATTTGTCTGAAATGGTATAGGGTTCCCTGCCTGAGCAGGGGGTTGGACTAGATGACCTCCAAGATCCCTTCCAACTTTATTATTATTATTATTATTATTATTATTATTATTATTATGGATCATCACACAGTCAGCCAGATGTTCAGACTGGATTTGGCATTTTGTCTACCCATCGAGTCCTTACCCAGGACCTGGGATAGGCAGATGTGGATGTTTGATGGTATTACAGATATCGTCGCAGGATGTAAGCAGTTCCTAGTAAGGCCGCCTTTTGCAATTGACTAATAGCGAATTTGTCAATGCCAATGGTGTTCAAGTGGTGCTCCAGTTGTTTTTGGATTGCACCCAAGGAGCCTATGACTATTGGTACTACCCTTGCTTGCTTTTGCCACAGTCTTTCTATTTCTATTTGTAGGTCTTTGTATTTTGTTATCTTTTCCAGTTCTTTCTCTTCTATTCTGCTATCTCCAGGCACTGCCACGTCCACTATCCCGACTTTTTTGTCTTTCTTATCGACAATTGTTAAGTCTGGGGTGTTATGTTGCAGGTGCTTGTCTGTTTGAATTCTGAAGTCCCAGAGCAGTTTAATTTTATCATTTTCTATGACTTTCTCTATTTTATGATCCCACCAATTTTTGTTTACAGGCAAATGATATTTTTTGCAGATCTTCCAATGCACCATTGTTGCTACTTTGTCATGCCGCTGCTTATAGTCAGTCTGTGCAATCTTCTTGCAACAGCTTCTTACATTCTTACATTTCTCAACTGTATTCTATTTCTTATTCAGCAATTCTTCATTTATTAATTTCATCTCTTCCATCATTACAATCTTTTTATCATTATAGTTCCATAAATTAGCTATTATATCTAATAATAAAAGACATAGGAAAAATAAAAAAAATAATAGAAAGAAACAAAAAGAAACCAAGAAAGAGAAAAGAAAGAAGATCTATTATTCCAAAAAATATTCTTATTATATTTCAATATTAAATTCTAAATCTTAACCTAAAAACACCTTTTAAAAATCCAAATCCAAATCAATCCACATCTCTATAAAGCCATTGCAACCCATAAATGTAATCTTAAATCCCATATTTATATCTTATTTTAGCTTTCTTTCTGTTCCAAACAGATTTCCATAGTAAGGCCTCTAAGTCCGCAAATAAAACTCCGTCCATTTCTTGCCGTAATGCATAAATCAGGGGAGAATCTCCCATTGTCCATTGTAATAGGCTAGTGAAAAAGTTGTAGCGATTCTCAATAGCTCGTGGTTGAACATCCATCTTCATCTTTTTTGAAGTTGTGTCTAGTTTAATTACAGTCATTTTTGAATCACCCAAAGTCTCAATAGATTGTCTATAAAATAATGTAGAGTCTTCTTTAATATTATTTTGCTCTCCTCCTATTAGTTTTTTATCTGTCATGTAATCAGTTGGAGTCTGGAGATCAGCCTGACCTTCTGGGGTAATATCCTTAGTTTCCGTGCTAAAAGTCATTTGTTCATTAGCATCAAAAGTTTTTTCTGGTGTAGGTTGGTAGTCCTGATGTAAGTTTAATTCCTTCATTTCAGTAAATTGTGGATAAAGTTGAAGATGGATTTCTTGAGTATATACCCCTTCTGCTATTTCTTGGCTTACAAAGTGCTCACTTACACCTTGCGCTTTGATTTGTTGTTGAAAAATAATCTCTTTTGTGTAGGCAATTATTTGTTCAGTATTTTTAAGAATTTTGTCCAATATATACTTGTAATTGAAATCTGGACCGAGTTCCTCCATTTCAGTAGTATATAAAGCCATTATTCTTTTGGTGGAGGCTGTATTTAATAACAATCAGTCAATATCCGCTTCCACACAGCTATACAGTTTCTTTATCTTTCCCTTTTGAGATAATTTGAAGGTCAAAGTCAGACTCAGAATCCAAAGAAAGGAGATAACAATTGCAATAAATACTTTCACCACAGGATGTCCCCAGAGGGTTAACCAGTTGTTCAGTCTTTCCAGACCCCCAATAAAAATAATTTCTTTCCTCTTTTCCTTTTTTCCTTCTTTTCCTTAGTTATAAAAATAGTAGAAAATAGAAAAAAAATTCTCCAAATTGCTAGCATATTAAGTTTCTATAACAGGGATTTTAGGACTCCCAAATATTCAAAAACAAAATCAACCATTGAAAAACTTGAAATTGATTTTTCTTTTGTTCCAAGACTTTTCTTCCCCCATCAACAAAGCCATTTTAAAAAGATAGGGAAATGATTCCAAAGGCTTTTCACAGGAGTAAATAGGAAAGGGAGAGGCAAGGAAAGGTCTCATCAAATTTTTCACGGTGGTTCTATTTCACTTAGATGTTCTTGTGGTTTACGGCTGATGCAGCTAAGTGATCGGCCATTTTACTGACCGATCTTTACTCTGTCGGCCCAAAGGAGCTTGTTTGGACTGCAGAGGGTGCCGCCGCCCCTCTTCAGTCAAACAGGCAGCCTCCTCAACGGTGGTCGCCCCTGCAGGGTGACTTTTGACCCAATCAAGGGTCTCCCAGCGAGGGAAACTCGGCTGGTGAAGATACGAGTCTCTCCGCACGACTGCAGCGCTGTGACCCGGAACTGAAAGCCAGTGATGTCATTGTTCAACCCTTTCAGCCTGGAAATGTTTTGGCGATCCTGGCACAAATGTAGTTGTAGTCTGAAGTTCATAAGCTCACTCTCAAACCCGTAGTTTCCTATTTTAGATAAAAATTGGGCTGATTGAATAAAGGTGTGCAAATAAAACAAGGTGAAAACTTTCTGAAAATTTAACATCCCATTCTCAGCTGGAACAGCTTCATCAGAAATGTTCCAACTTGTTCTGACCTTATTGAAAGACATCTGACCTTGAAATGGATGTCAAAGAAAGGCATTTGGCCAGAATTTCTCTACATTAAAACATTTTACAGATGATTTACAAATCCCTAAAGTCTGGTTCATATTGCCATAAAATCAACTGCTTGGTGTAGCTATTGGGTGCAAAACTGAGTCATTGATTGATTGATTTTTTTTATACTGCCATCTTCATACAGACTCCTTGTAGTTTACAGCTGTAAAAAAATTATAAAACTCTTATCAGTCAAAAGAAAGCAAAACCCTAACCTTCAAAATGCTACCAAAGAGATCTCTGGACAATATTTGTTATATGATGGTCTAGTATTTTTTACCAGTTCTCCAACATTTCTTAAAAATTACCCTTAATATCAGCAAATTTCTGCAGAATTATTTGATTGCTTATTAGAATTGGTTCATATATCATCTTTGTGTTTATAGAACGCTATGTTGAATAAAAGAATATATGAAAAAGAAAAAGCAGAATTAAATAATTAAAGTGCTGCATTCTAAAGAGTTACAAAATTTGTGTAGTAAAATAAATGAAGAGGCTTATGTTTCAGGTTTTGTATTAGTTTATCAAAATATAAAATACAAAGAAAAAATGAAAACAGTGGGAAAGTGGGAAGGAAAGGGGGAAGAGAAAAAAGTGTAGGGTTAAAGGGAAAAAAGAAAGAAAGGCATTCACTTCCAACTCTTTTTAGCACAGAATAAGATATCATATAGCCTCAACTTTTTACTTTTACATAATAAGATACACTAGCCACTTCTATAATAACAAACTTATCTAATCAGCAAAACCCAAAGTCAAAGTTTCATTTTTTCACCTCAAACACAAAGTCCAGAAGTGGTTTCCAAATGGAAACAAAATTAGCTATATTCTTTTCTTTGTTTAAGGCAGTCAATTTAGACATCTCTGCTAATTCCATCAGTTTTTCCAGCCAGTCATCCATTGTTGGAATTAAAATATCTTTCCAGTTTTGTGCATAGTGATTCTTGCTCCCGTCAGCATTTTTATATATATATATATATATATATATATATATATATATATATATATATATATATATATATATATATATATATATATATATATCAACTAAGTTCCAAATTTTTGTTCGTGTTCTTTGTTCATTAAGCCTAAAAGAGAATCTCTGGCTTTATCTTTATATTCCCTTTAAGAATCTTCTGTTTAAGATGTAAATGTTACTCCAATATTTTTTTGCTTTGTCTCAATTCCATCAGAGATGGTAAAAAAAATCCTTCTTTACATTTACAACTCCAACATGTATTTGAAATAATATACATTTTTGACATTTAATGTAAATTTTAAAGTCTTCATAATAAATGAAGTGGCTTATAGTAGTGTCAGATAACATTCTTTTTCTATACAAGTTCACACATACGCTTACTGCACAATGATCACTGCTGTAATCTGTAATCAACAGCTGTTGTAATAAGTATATATGTTGATGTATTAGTACTTACAGAACACATTGATGGATTGTGTTGCTGTCATTAGGAATTAATTGTAAATAAATTCTGACTATATAGAAATTTCTTAATATATATCATTATACTAATAATATACTTTGCTTTGGCAGGAAGAGTGCCAAAATTATATTCGTGTTCTCCTGATTGGTGGTGATAGACTGTTTGCATGCGGAACTAATGCATTTACACCCATTTGCACTAATCGGACGGTAAGAATATGAGTAGATCTGCACTACAATACTGTAGATTTCTTAATTCAGTAAGAAGACTTCTATGATTGTGGAATTTCTTGTACAAATGCAAATAAATTGGATACTCTCCATTATGAGCTAGGTGGCCATCTATCAACTGCAGTATATAATACATAATTTTCAGTATTTCATCCATTCTGTAATTACCAATATTATATCAACAGAGACTTGAGAATGTTATTACCAATATACTGGCTGAAGAAAAAACAAAGAGACCTGGGAATTTCTTCATCAATTACATTTGGAATGAGAAATTTTCTGGTCTGCCATGGTCTCTTTCATGGAGTCTGATCTATAGCTGTTCTGAGATTACAAATTTACCCTGTCCTGTAAGGCTTTAAAATAGCCCAACCTGAATATTGTGACCGTTTTAAGCATCGCGGCCACGGAGGACATTTCAAAGAGGGAGTTACTCTGGATAATGAAAGGTTCTGCTGCCCAGTCTTACAATATTGGTAAGGAGTTCCTATCGTTTATAATAAAGCTTCAAAATAAGCTTAATTTATGATAGTTCAAGCTATTTTAAAGCCTTATTGTGGTATAGGTGGCATTTTCAAGGAGGAGTGACCAGAAATGGAAAAAGTTAGTCTTCTCTAATATTGTGATTTTCTCTCCAATGTTTGTTACCATATCCTGCAATACTTGAATGCTAGTAGATTGCTTTAAAAGTGCTACGACACAATATTTATTTATACTGTGGCTTAACTGAATGAATGTGTATAAGATGGAAGGAGTGAATTGATTGTAGTCATCTATGTGATGGACATTGTGAACAGTAATCTGTATGGGGTGAATGAGATCTAGTGTATTGTAGGTATGTAACCCTTTATTGAACTTGTAGTCAGTCCCTAAAGCTAGTAAGAAGTCTATATTAATAAGAATGTACTTTAAGACACCATTTTTAATTCTTCACATTAGAAGTCAGGTTTTTTTCTTCCAGTTATTTGTGTGCGTATGTGTATATTTATATTTAATATAAGAATAGAGTTAGAGTTATATAATAGTTAATTCAGTGTTGATATGGGTGAAAATCGAAGGAGTTCCTGACCAAAAGCAGGACACGTGTACAAATAAATTCTTCAGTTTGTGTTCAGGATTTGTGGGTTTCATGTTCTGTAATGCAGTTTGTAATAATTCTTCCTCTCCCCAATATTCTGATGAAGCTAAGCAACCTGGAAGAGTCACACGATCAGATCAGTGGCATGGCACGCTGTCCTTATAGCCCCCAGCACAATTCTACGGCTCTCCTTGCAAGCACTGGTGAGTTATATGCAGCAACGGTCATGGACTTTCCAGGGAGAGATCCTGCAATTTATCGCAGTTTGGGTATTTTCCCTCCACTTCGGACTGCACAGTACAACTCTAAGTGGCTCAATGGTGAGTATACGGAAGACACTATTTTTTGGGGGGGGGGGTTAGGAAATGCTTTCGTTTAAGACAGTGGTTCTCAACCTTTTTAATGCCGCGACCCTCAACCGGTCGTAAGTCGAGGACTACTCAACTGGTCGTAAGTCGAGGACTACTCAACTGGTGCAGCACCGTTTGCAGAATGGGACTTTTGGCGGGCTCAGCAGGGCAGAGACAGCCTGGACAATTCCTATTGGCTTTTGAAAGCCAATAGAATTAGACTCTATTCAAGAGAGTCTATTCTATTGGCTTTCAAAAGCCAATAGAATAAAAGGGAGTAGCACAACTAAGGAAAAGGGGAAAAAAATGGCGGACTGCGTTGTTTGGTGACCCCCGTGAAATGGTCATTTGACCCCAAATGGGGTCCCGACCCACAGGTTGAGAACCACTGGTTTAAGAACTTCCACTAATTCATTTTGAAGGAAAAAACTTCATTCTTACAACTTAATGCTACTTTGTCCATGCTGAATGTGGAGAATTACAACTAGGCTTCCTAGTTGCAGCTCTTGTTGCATTCCTATAGTCACATGTTCACAATTTGAGCACTTGGCGACTTGCTTGCAGTTAGAATAACTCAGCGTGATCAGGTGATAGCCATTTGCAATCTTCATTGCTGACTTCCAACAAGTTGAGTCAATTGGGAAGCCGGCAGGAGATTGCAAATGGTGATGTCATGTCGAATTATCACATGAAAGTCACCTAACAATGGAAAGTAGAACAGCCAGAATTGCCATTGTAAATCAGTGCAGTCACATAACATTCCAGTTTACAACCACATTGCTTAACGACAGAGTTCCCAGTCTGAATTACCACAGTTCACCAAGGACTCCTTATAACTCTAACTAAAGAGATCGTTGGTAGTCTTTGGACAGTTACTACAAATATATGTATTACTAAATTATTGTGCTAAATCTTGGTATTATTTGAATGAAGATAATCTTGGCAGGAAAAAGGGCATCAGACTAAAACAGAGAGATGTAAGTGGACTCTTCTTGAGTTCAGGAATGGAAATTTCAAAAAATGTTACATAAAAGCTGGGGTTTAAGGAAGGATATTAGGAGGAGCAAAAACAGTAGCCTCTTGCATGAATTCTGGGTACGTGTCCTAAAGAAACAAGGGCCTGTGTGTAGATGGATGGAGTCAATTTAAGGAGCAAAGTTATTTCCCTCTATTTTTGTTTTTCAAAATATATTCCAGAACCAAATTTTGTGTCTTCATATGACATTGGAAACTTCATCTACTTTTTCTTCCGAGAGAATGCAGTGGAACATGATTGTGGGAAAATAGTTTTTTCTCGGACTGCTCGAGTTTGTAAGAATGACATTGGTGGCAGGTTTTTGCTGGAAGATACTTGGACCACCTTCATGAAAGCGCGTTTGAATTGCTCCCACCCTGGAGAAATTCCATTTTACTACAATGAATTACAGAGTACGTTCTTCCTGCCAGAACTGGAATTAATCTACGGGATCTTTACCACTAATGTGTATGTAGTTTATGTAGTATTTTCTTTCTAGAATATTCAAAATTAACTTGGGGAGGAAATCTATTTATAACCAGGAGTGGGCAATCTTGAAAACAAACGCATAATAAAAAAATTCCAAGATAAAGATTTTTGAAAAAGTGTGGAAAATGATTATATATTTATCACTTTTAGAAGGGTAAAAAATTAACAACTAGAAGAATGTGAATTTTTCAAGCCTAAAAGCTTTCTTTGTTTGAATTTTTAATTTGATAAGATGGTAACAATTGGCAAAAATGGAGACTATTATATACTAAAATATTGGTATCTGCCACATTAATAATTAATTTTCAAAGACAACCGTTCCATTAGTAAACGTGGTTTAATTTTGTAAAAATATATAAATATGAATTGTAGGAGAATATTCAACTGGAGATGAGAGATCCTATGAAGTATTGTTTTCATCACACAATGAAAATGCATCCAGGGAAGAGTCTAGCATTGCTGGCTGTGGAATTCTGGGAGTTGAAGTCCACATGCCTTAAAATTGTCAAGGTTGAGAAACACTGGTCTAGACCACTCAAGACAGGCAGTTGAACCTGAATGAATGCTATGATGGAGTAAATCTTGTCATACTCATACAAACAGTTGCTTCTGGAGACACATAGCAGGGGCTTTTCTCTTACAAGCGCTTTCTCAAAAATCCAAACAACCAGATCTTACTAAGTAAAGACTAACATTTTAAATTTTATGTAACAATCAGTTGGAAACCAATGAAGTCATTGTGAATTAATAGTTTCCTGATTCAAATGACAGCAAATTTCCTGATTATTTTGGTAGTTTCAAGGGCATTCTATAGTATGTTTATTTCCTTCTGGCTGTCTGGCATTTTAAAGTCAGTTTTTTTCAAAAGTGATTTGCCACTGCCTTCTTCTTAGGGCTGGGAGAGAAAGACTGGCCCAAGGTCACCCAGCTGGCTTTCTGTCTCAGTGGGACTAGAACTCCCAGTTTCTAGCCTGATGCTTTAACCACTACATCAAACTGGCTCTATTTTCAGTTCTTTACTTACCTTTATTTATGGTTGGATTCTGTATCATCACCATCATTCATGATCATCATTTTAGCCATTGTCTATCCACTGTAGGATGAAGGCCTCTTCTGCATGTTTCCAATCTATACAGTCCTGAGCTTTCTTTTACCAATTGGGCCCACAATACTTGCTGATGTTGTCAATCCATCTTGTTTTAGGTCTCTTTTGTGGACTGACTCTCTCTCCCTCCCCTTTCTCCGTCTCCTTCTCCCTCTTTCCCTCTCTCCCACCCTCCCTCTCTCTCTCTCCCTCTCTCCCCACAGACATATATATTGCATGATTGATAGTCAACATACTACAGATATGATTTCTAGAGAGCTAGCTTCATTTGTATATTGTAGCAAAACAAATAATCATAACATTCATAATAATTATAATATTCATTTATAGCCACACAAATGAATCAAATAATATCTTTATCTTATTCCTCTTTTGCTTTTCTATGGGCTGATAATTCATTAAGCACTTTGAAATATAAATGAAGCAGATCTTGGTGGAGGAGTTCTTGGAATTTACATTATTCTGAATTTGGGGACTGACTACCTATAGGAAGGCATTTTAAACATTTCTACAGCACTCCAATTTGTATAAATTGAATAAGTTATTGCTCCCAAATCTGTAAGATGGCTCTCCAGTATATGAAGGTTCCAAGATATGAAGAGAAAAAGAATACATTTCTATGGGAGAGCGAAATCAAATATGGGTCTTTGTAAGTGGAGGGAATCTCCCAGATACATTTAACTGCATAATTTTTAAAGACCTCATGCAGGACCTTCAACTCTAAAAGCTGGCTTTTACAAAGCATGCACAATGTACACTATAAAGAAAAAATATTGCTGGTATTTGAAATTGTCAAGTGGGAACAGTGCTGGGACTATTATTTGGGTTAGTTAGTAGAATACAGGATGCAAGTATGGGCAGAATACAAGTGAATTAATTAAATAATTTTAACAGACTATTCTCTAGGAAACAATATGGAATTGGGTGCCCAGTATATTTGTATTATTTGAATAATTTATTTTCTAAAGTTCTGTCTAAGCAGCACTGAGTTAGGGGTTATGTACATTCTCTGTAGGCATATATGTGGCAATTTTGTCTAAAATTAATTAAATATTTATTAAGTCTTATAGCTTTTATCTGTTTCCTACTTTAAGAAAAAGATGTTATTTCAGTCCAAGAATTACGGAATGGAAATACTTCACTCAGCTTCTTTAATTCTACATTTAATATCTTTTAGTTTACTTTAGCTAAATGTTTTATGAATATTACTAAACCATCGCATTCAACCTTGTATTCTGCTGAATTAAATCTACCTATGCTTTTATCACTAAATTAGCTTATCATTTGCTCTTGTTTCATAGCTGTTCAGTGTGTTGAATTCTTGCTTAGCTGATCAGCTTACAACTGTGTCATGTATTCCCTTTGAGTAACTAGGCTATTAACTTCAATGATCTTAAACACTTGCAGTTTAACATTTAAACATTTATTTAAGAATCAGGCACACCGCTTTGTCACAAAAGAGATACTGCTGTCTAGTGATATAAGGAATCTATGAACATGTACTCAGTTTCCAGTCTGAGCAACTTCCAGATGTGTGGGCTTCCAAAATTCCCAAGCCAACATGAATGTTGCTAAGAATTTGGGGAACTGAAGCTTGTACATCTGGAGGATATCAAGATTGGGAAAGGCTGACCCTAGGTAATGTGCAAATAATTTCAGAATGAAAAATATAATTCTTATTGCTTGCATACATTAATTATTGTTGTAAGAAAATATCTGATATTTTAAACAGAAGAGTGTTTATCCTTGCTTATTTTCATGATGATGGGTTTTGTTTTTTGCCTAAGTATGTGTAGCAAGATTTTAGATCTCCACATTTTTAGCCACCTCAGCTAACCAACTGGTAATTTCCAAATGACTTTGCTTTATTCTTCAAGGAATAAATATCTACATGCTGTATTCTAGTTAATGTAGCAGTATCATAATACTTTTTAAAAAGCTAAGCTAATTTAGAAAAAGGTACAATGTTGGAGACTCCTATTGTAGAGTTCATAACAAACTAATGTATGTGATATGTACTGAGTAGTAATTGCATAATGCATAATTTATATAATCTCAGGTACCATGAGATTGTTAATTATAATATAATGTTAAAATATAAAGAAACCTTTCTCAGCTTGGTCCCTCCAGAGATATTGCTCTAGATCTTACAGTACTATTATTCTAGGACAGTGGTGGCAAACCTATGGCATGGGTGCCAGAGGCGGCACTCAGAGCCCTCTCTGTGGGCATGTGTGCTGTCGCCCCAATCCTAGGCCTTCAGCTGGGTTTTATAAAACCTTTTTGCTTTAGGCCTCCACTGCTGTGTACAAAAATAAAGGTTCAATCAATCAGTCAATTTCAACTTCTTGCGGAAAAAAAAAAAGATCTTGCAAAGTTGGAATTGATTGATTGAACTTTTTAGTCCCATCCAGTCTGCTGTTACCACCGCAGCCACGCCCACCCAATGGGCCACACCCATCCAGCACCCGACGATGCATAAGTGGGTTTTGGGTTGCAATTTGGGCACTCGGTCTCTAAAAAGTTCGCCATCACTGTTCTAGGAAATTCTAACTTAATAATCATGATTCATACTTCCATCTATTCAGAGGTGAGATACAAAGAATTATAAGTGTTATAGAAAATTTGCATTGGCTATCAAAAATAATCTGTTTTTTCCATTTCTTTGGTGTTTTTTTTAAAGGAACAGTGTAGCCGTTTCAGCTGTTTGTGTATTCAACATGACTGCAATAACTCAGGTCTTTAGTGGGCCATTCAAATACCAAGAAAACTCTCGTTCTGCCTGGCTTCCTTATCCCAACCCTAATCCTAATTTTCAGGTAGATAAAAATAAGAAGGTGTTCTTAACCTTTTTTGCATGTTGTATGCATGTCCATCAAATTGCACTCAGTTTTAAGAAGTTAAAATATTTACAATATTTTAGAGAAATATATAAACATGGTAAAAATTATAACCCCCCCCCTAAATTTAACATTTAACTGACAACTTTAAATCCATAGTAATAATGATGTAAGTTGCAAACATCACATTGGGAGGGCAACACATTGTCCATTGAGCAGGGATATTTTTGGTTCCTGCTGGAAGCTATGAAGATCTGGATTAATCTATTCTATCATACGTAGGGAATGTATTCCACAATCTGCTATTGCTAAAAACTGATCATTCTGTGGTTCCATTGCCTAGATTCTTTTTATTCTTAAATATGTAGCATGACCCTAGACATAAACTGTAAACTGTACAATATATGAGGAAATGAGCTTTCAGTTTTCTTGTCCTAAACTATTTATGGTTTAATAGGAAGAATTAACACTTTAAATTGGGCTAAAAATTAACTGAAAACTTGTGCAACTGATGTAGAACTGGTATTAGGATCATGTATAAACTGTGGCACCAATAAGCAATCTGGTTAAGAATTTTATAGCAACTGTAGTTAAAAAATACACTGTGGGGGCGGTTCCTGTGATATGTGCTATATTAATGTACAAAGGACATTAATGGATCACTGTTGCCAGATCAGTGGATAGAACTAGAGTATCAAGTAAAATTGAGTAAAAAAAAATCCTTCTCGAAATTACCCTCTTGACATCCAGAAACAAAATTGGATTTCCACCCCTCTTTTGCAATTTTGTACTCTTTTGAAACAGAGCAAGACCTTGATGGCTAAAATACAACGCTAATCTTAATTATAACCCTAATAACCTAACTCTTGAGGAGGAGTTTCCTGTGGGAAAAATAGATGCATAACGAAGCCCTCACGGAAAAACAGAGCCTATCAGGCATGAAATATCAAGACCACAGTGAAATTCCAATTAAACTGATTTATTAGTACTCATGCCTATATACAGGAATCTACTCAACTAATAGCACTGTTGTGCAGCTAGATAAGGGTCAAAGAATTCTAGAAGGGTTGCACTTAATCCATTTGTGGTTACATAGAGACTCTAGGCTGATTTCTTTTTTGACTCTGCCCCCGGGTTCTTCTCTTATACAGCCTGAGACTCCCTTTATAATTATAACTACAGTTGTGGCTAGGTGAGGTGCCATTGTACTTTTGAGTGCCAAGGCTTGCTGGTCCTATCCAGGATGAACAGCAATAAAAGAGCTGTGTGCTATGTACTTCTTGTTTGTGATATGTAGGTAAAAAGAGCAAAACATCACTTACCTGTTATTTCTTTTTTGAGATATCTTCATTGCAACAGTTCCTATATTTGTATGTGTGAAAACTTAGAGTATATATGGATAATCTGCTAATAAGAAAAAGATTGAAGTATATTATATAGCTGGATGATCGGTCAGTTGTGCATAGCTTATTATAAGAGTTAGCCTTTAGATTGTTATACTCTCACAATACATATACTATATGTCTTAAGTTCTTAAAATCTTGAATTAATGTTAACAGTATTATATGTATACATTTTCAGTGTGGCACCATGGATCAAGGCCTGTATTTGAATCTGACAGAGAGGAATCTCCAAGATGCCCAAAAATTTATTTTGATGCATGAAGTGATCCAACCCATCACACCAGTTCCTTACTTCATGGAGGACAATAGCCGCTTTTCTCATGTGGTTGTTGATGTGGTACAAGGAAAAGAAATGCTTTTCCATATAATTTATTTGGCCACAGGTAAATTATATTTTTATTTCCTCATTTTCTTTATTTCTAACATGCATAGATTGTCCAATAATTCTTCATCTGAGATTTTTAAAAAAAACTTCTAAAGGACAAAGCCACTTTAAAACACCAGTAGTAAAATAACGTAAAACTAACAGCAAGGGGAAAATAGTGGTATATGTAATAATACAAAAGTAAAAATATCAACATATACTTTTAATTGAACTGATATTAAGATACAGTATTTATCCAGCCAGCCATTAATGCAGACAAATTAATCTATGTTTGTTAATGTATATTTACATGGATTTATCCAATTGTCCATGAGATTTGCTTTATTAGAGAAAAAAATTGTTTAACATTTATATTTTGTTTGCCAGTCAATTATGATCTGAAAGTTGAAATGGGAGACCTGTGGGCTATGTAAAAGTTATATCTTATTTTTTTTTCTCCTTAGGATTTAGAAAAGCATGTTTGATGTTCCAGCTTTATTTCTAAGGAATAGGGAATCGTCATAGATTTAAAAGATGTAATAATTAAAGCAGGTTTTAAAATTCACATAAACTCACATGGTCATTCCTATATTTATATCCTGATTTGCAGGAATGAAATTTTTGACTTAAATACCTGGTAGTTTTGATGGATGTTGCCTTAGAAATGTTAATATCTAATTCTAGTACCTAGTATTTAATTAGACCGTAACTTCTGTTGCAAAACATTGGAATGGCTAAGAAGGGGAAAACATATTTGCGTTTTCCCTATTGAGAGTTATTAAAGCTACTTGCATGTTAAATCTTCTTGTCAAACTTTTGTACATTAAGTGAATTAGTGGCAATTGTAGGATTCCATGCAAGTAAATTGAATTCTATTCATGTATTCACATATTCTTTCTCATTTTTGCTCCTTCTCCATCCCCACAATCTCTTCTGTGGGATTAGGGCCCTTTTGGAACTATAAGTAGTATGGTACAATGTCTTTTTTTTTAATCAAAGCTTTTAGAAGTCAGCAGTTATTCCTGAATGCTACTGGTGATACACAATTGTCTCTCAGGATCCAAGCTGATATAACCATCAACTCTTTTAAGAAAAGTAATAAAAAGAGAAGAACATTTCATGTTTCATCTCCTCATTCCACTGTTAACTTTATTGGATTTCCGAACAATCATTGTGCTTAAACTGAATTTAATATTTTTGCTAAAAGGCTTGGCAAAAGAAACTGAAGAGTAATAGCTTCATGATATAATTTTTAGCATGGGAATGTAGACATATTTAATGTTTAAAAAATACAGTGATTTATTTCCCAATGTACTTTTTCTTTGAGGAGTATGGATCTCCAAACACACTAGTAAAATGTTAAAAATACAGTAAGTTAAAACAGGATGATTGATTTAGTTTTAAAATAATGTTCAGCATTGTGAGTTTTGACGACACTGAAATGCCAATATGATCTATTTTTTGTCTTCCTTTTTTTTGAGTTAAAACTGGCAGAAATGAAATGCCAAGCTAGTAGTTAAACAACTAGTAAATGTCTCATAGTTGTAGCAATGTGCTTGAATGGAAATGTTTTCAGAAGCAAATTTGTTATTATGTGTATGTCTTTGTACTTGGCTATTATTTATAGACAGCTCAAGGGTTTTTAGTCCTTGTCCACTACTTTTTACTTGCTTGGTATGTTGTTTTAAAGAAGTGCCACATGCTTTTCTGGCTCACGATAAATGAAAATTGAATGGTTGGTACATAGTGTATCTAGTCTGCAGGAGTTCCTTACATAAATTAATTTACAATGACCTCAACTTTCATATTGCAATTTGTTGAAAGCAGCATCTTCATGATGCTGATATAAGATGTTGTATACTTACAGTATATGATACTATTAGTTATGTTTCAGACAGTAGTAATGTTTAAAAAATGAAAGGAAAGATAGATTCTTAATAATTAGCTAGTAGTCTGCTGTATCGTATTTTAGATAAAATGAGGCACGTGCCAGTTTTTGCTTTACTCTTATGCTTTGCTGAATGACCATTTGGAATCCCATAAATCTGAAAAAAAAACCTCTCTGTTGTGAAAGGGTATGTAGGTTGGATCTAAATTCATATACAAATCTGGATGCGTTAATGCAGATGTTTCTAATCTGCATGTGGCCTTCAGGCAGAATTAGGAGTGAACGTTGAACTGTCAGAGTTCTGGAAGGACTCATAGCCTGCAGTTATTTATACCTTTTACATCTTATTTCTTACTTCTTTTACCTGTGCTATGTGAAACTACTCAGTTATGTACAATTCTGGAAGATTTCTGAAAAAAAAAAATCCAGGCTACTTGTAATGTATAATATTCTGTTTCACTAATTTGTAGTTTTACATAAACCAGCATTGTAATTACCTTTAGAATAGCTGGGTAGCGTAGATATGTCTTATTGAAAAATAGCCAGGTTCTTGTGGTATTACTTCTTTGTATGTCTATCTTTATATCTCTGTTTCTTTGTATGTATGCATAAAAACATGCTTGTCCCAAAGATGTTTTTTTCCAAAAAGCAACTGTACTTTCTTGGTGTTTTATCCTTAGAAAATGTTTCACTAAACTGAAGAAGCTTCTTGGATAAGAGGTGAAATGTTTTAAAAGGAAAAAAAATAAGAAAGTCCAGTTATCTTTTGGAAAAAGCACTTTTGGGAGAACCACCACCTGGATGATTGAGAATCTCCATAGGCATAAAAACATGCTCAGACTTTTTTTAATCAGATTGTGAAAATTCTAAAAATTCTAAAAGTTATGTATGCATGTAAGATAATAGAATCATACCTGCCAACCTATCAACCTCTTAAATTTCTTAATTTGTTTTGGATTTAAAATTGTTCTTATAGTTTTTACTACTGGAATGAAAACATGAACATACATTGATATTCATCATCCTGTTCTTTTTTCTGGTTAAATTTAATACATAGCACAGAAAAAAAGAATAAGATGTTAGCTAAAGTAATTGATCATGTGAAGTGTTAATATCTCTTTATAACGCCTTGGTAAGGCCACACTTGGAATACTACATCCAGTTTTGGGTCATCACAATGTAAAAAAGATGTTGAGACTCTAGAAAGAGTACAGAGAAGAGCAACAAAGATGTTTAGGGGACTGGAGGCTAAAACATATAAAGAACAGTTGCTGGAATTGGGTATGTCTAGTTTAATGAAGAGAAAGACTAAGGGTGACATGATAGTAGTGTTCCAATATCTTAGGGGTTGCCACAAAGAAGGAGTCAATCTATTCTCCTGAAGGCAGGACAAGAAGCAATGGATGGAAACTAATTAAGGAGAAGCAACCTAGAACTAAGGAGAAATTTCCTGACAGTTAGAACAATTAATGAGTGGAACAACCTGCCTCCAGAAGTTGTGAATGCTCCAACACTGGAAGTTTTTAAGAAGAGACTGGACAACCATTTGTCTGAAATGGTATAGGGTTTCCTGCCTGAGCAGGGGATTGGAGTAGAAGGCATACTCAATGCTTATATAACAGTGGTTCTCAACCTGTGGGTCAGGACCCCATTTGGGGTCGAACGACCATTTCACGGGGGTCGTAAAACAATGAAGTCCACCATTTTTTTCCCCTTTTCCTTAGCTGTGCTACTCCCTTTTATTCTATTGCCTTTTGAAAGCCAATAGAATAAATTAGACTCTAGAATAAATTAGCCAATAGGAATTGTCCAGGCTGCCTCTGCCCTGCTGAGCCCGCCAAAAGTCCCATTCTGCAAACGGTGCTGCACCAGTTGAGTAGTCCTCGACTTACGACCGGTTGGGGGTCGTGGCATTAAAAAGGTTGAGAACCACTGTTCTAGAGTCTACTCTAGAGTCTGATCCTGCATATCAGATATTTATATTACCATTCATAACAGTAGCAAAATTACAGTTATGAAGTAGCAACGAAAATAATTTTATGGTTGGGGGTCACCACAACATGAGGAACTGTATTAAAGGGTCGCGGCATTAGGAAGGTTTAGAACCACTGTTATATAAGAAAATGAACAGCAGCAGTACTCATTAGAATCAGGAATTTTTGCTTCTGTTGACAATCATTCATAGTCCTTATAGAAAGGTATACAAATTCATTTATTTACTTTCTCTATTTTTTTGTCATTTATATTATGTATAATTTGAAATTGTTCATTCCTATTTTCTTGTTACATTAATTTTCAGATCTATAATCCTTGTTGCACCATAGAAACAAGGTCTGCAAACTATTTGGGTTTTCTGCCAACAACATGGCATCATCGGTAGTCATAAATATTCATGTTCCCAACCATCAATCTCTAAACTCACCATAAATATTCCATTTATCCATTAAATAACTAAGGAATATCATAAGTCCTGTTCTTATGTTCTGTTCAAGGATATACTAGTTGCTAAGCAGTCAATTTATTTTCATGCATGGTTTAGCTTCAATATATAGTTTTTGTACTGCATGTAGTGACCAATCTTCCACACCATATTTGCCTGAAACATTCCATATATCTCCTTATAACATGTTTTTTTGCTAAATTAACCCATATGCAATAACCCATCTTCCTCCTATTCATACATTTTGCTTTTTTCTCATTAAAGAAAAAATCTGGTTGGTATGTCCTTTGACTGGCATAAAGACTTCCCAAATCTTGCTCATTATCTCTTATTGTTTCTATCAGAATTTGGACACTCTCCTTCTGAATTCATACTTAATGAATTCAATATTTTTGCATATAGTTTTTCTATTTGTCCCTATGTATAGGAGATTCCAAGTGCAGTCTTCATACAGACTTCAAACAGCTTGCTCTTTTTAAACAATCAATACCATATTTCAACATTTCCCCAGTTACAAAATCTGTATCTATAGCCTTATCATTTGAAAACACAAAACATTTATTATTTGTTTTGGGGGGAACATTAATATTTGTAGCATTCATTTCAATTTCAGTTTCAATATATCACTATCATTCCCATGCAAATTTCTAAAAAAAAACTTTTTACAATACTCCACTAATATTTTATCTGA